AACTTGGCGAGACCTCATCTCTACAATAAATTAAAAAAATTAGCTGGGTGTGGTAGCGCGCGCTGTAGTTCCAGCTCCTTGGAAGGCTGAGGCGGAAGGATCGCCGGAGTCCAGCAGGTCGAGGCTGCGGTGGCTGGGAGCAGCCACTGCACTCCAGTCTGGGCGACAGAGTGAGACTCCGACAAAAAAAAAAAAAAAAAAGTTTTATCTGTTTGGTTTTTTTGGCATTCTACTAAAAATAAGGCTGCTCTTGGATAAAAATACAAAATTCACATGTCCTCAAGCTTCCTGTCTTGGTTATCAAAATATACTTGAAAAATAAAAAAAGAGGAAGACCAAAAGGACTATGGTTTTGTCATTTGTACTTTAAAACAGTAGTCTCCTAAGCAGAGGAGGGCCCATACCGACAGTCCAGTCAGGGATGAGGGACAAGAAAAATGTATTAGAATGGTTTTTAAATATTTATTTTCACCTCTTTTAACATTTCTTTTTTGTGTGAATGTCTGATAACATATATACCATATTTTACAGACACACACACAAAAGTGTGGGACTGGGTGAGGGCCACTTTCTCCAAATCTACTGTTCAGTCTGAGAACTTGACTTTGAGAGAAAAGGAAGCATTTTCTGTACTGTGGTCTGATCTTGCACACAATGTGAGACTTCCTCTGCCTCTGGACACATTCTGGTTTCTGCTACAGAAGACTATCTTGTCATTCGTAGGAAAGCAAAGGACATATAGTCATACTTTTCCGTTTTTTTTTTTTCTTTTTTTGCATATATGCTCTAATAGGGCTGTCGATGTTTAATAAGCATCAAAAGAGGTTGGAGCCGGGCTCAGTGGCTCAGCCTGTAATCCCACGCCTTTGGGAGGCTGAGGTGAGTGGATCGCCTGAGCCCGTGGGTTCGAGACCCGCCTGGGTGGCGAGACCTCATCTCTATAATAAATCAAAAAATCAGCCGGGCATGGTAGTGCATGCCTGTAATTCCAGCTACTTGGAAGGCTGAGGTGGAGGGATCACTGGAGCCCAGCGGGTCAAGGTTGCGGTGGCTGGGGGCAGCCACTGCACTCCAGTGTGGGCGACAGAGTGAGACTCCAACTCAAAAAAAAAAAAAAAAGAGGTTGGGTACAGTGGCTCATGTCTGTAATCCCAGCACTTTGGAAGGCCGAGGTGAGAGAATGCCTGAGCCCACAGGTTCAAGAATAGCCCGGGCAACTTGGCAAGACCACATCTCTACAATAAAAATCAAAAAACAAAGTCATGTTCAGCTTTATTATTGGCATTAAGGAACTGGAGTATCGTGTACCTTGGTGTAGTTTTTTTCTAAATTTCTTTTACTTAGGTTTCATTAAGGTTTTTGTATCTGGTGGGGGGGTAAGTTTTCATCCAACTGGGAAAAATTTTGGCCATTATTTCTTCAAACATTTTTTCTGTCCCACTTGCCTTCCTTTTGAGGGACTCCAGTCACACCATTTTATACTGCCTGAAGTTGTTCCACAGATTGCAAATGCTCTGCTCATTTCTTTCCCAGTAATTTTTCTGATTCATGTTAGATAGTTTCTATTGCCTTATCTTCACATCTACTAAGCTTCTCTTCTGCAGTGTCTGTTCTGCAGTTAATCCCACCCAATGTACTTTTTATCTCAGAAACTGTATTGTTCATCTCTTGAATTCCTTATGTGGGTCTTTGAATGTCTCCTGTTTCTATCTGACATGTTCAATCCTTCCTCTGCCTTCTGGAACATATGAAATATAGTCACTGTTTTAATGTCCTTGTCTACTAATTCTATCTTCTGTGTCACTTCTGGATGTTTCTATTGACAGCTTTTTCTGCTCATTATAGATTGTATTTTTTCTTATTTCTTTACATGCTTGCTATTTTTTTTTTTTTTTTTTGAGTCAATGTCTCACTCTGTTGCCCAGACTAGAGGGCAGTGGTATGATCGCAGCTCATTGTAACCTTGTCCTGGGCTTAAGCAATTCTCCCTCTTCAGTCTCCTGAGGAGTTGGAACTACAGGTATATACCACCATGCCTGGCTAATTTATCTTTTAAAGAGATGAGGTTGTGCTATGTTGCTTAGGTTGGTCTAGAACTCTTGGGCTCAAGCAATCCTCTCACCTCAGTCTCCCAAAGTTTTGGGATTACAGGCATGAGCCACTGTGCCTGGCCCAAGACAAGCTTTTAAGCTTTGTTAGGTGGGATGAGAGCAGCCTTTAGGACTACTTTTGCCCTACTACTGAGGCAATACCTGCTCTATCTGATGCCCTGTGATTACAAAGTTCTCTGCTCTGGTTGGTGGGAACATACACTATTTCTGGTCCTCTGTGAACTCTGCAGATTGTCCTCTGCTTCTTTCAGGTGGTACTTTGCCCAGTCCTGGATAGTTTCCTTCTACACATGTGCTGATTTTTACTCAGCAGAAGACTCAAAGGGACCCTTAGAAGCTCTGACACACTCCCTCTAGCACACTCCCTCTAGCAGCTCACCTTCTTGGCCTCCCTGACTCCTAGATCCAGCTCCTTAACTCAGGGGAATACACGGCTCTGCCTGGGTTTGCCCTCCCTGCCATGTAGCCTGAAATTTCAGGCAGTGAATTCCCCTCATCTGTTTCTCCACCTGAGGGTCACTTCCTACCAGGAAGCTGCTGTTTTATATACTTTATCCAGTTTTGTAGTTGCTTCAAGTGAGAGGGCAAACCTGGACCCTGTTACTCCATCCTGGCTGAAAGCAGAACTTATATTTTTAGTTTTATTTTATTTTATTTTTATTTTTTGAGTTGGAGTCTCACTCTGTCGCCCAGACTGGAGTGCAGTGGTCGCTCCCGGCCACCGCAGCCTCGACCTGCTGGGCTCTGGCGATCCTGCTGCCTCAGCCTTCCGAGTAGCCAGAATTATAGGCATGTGCTATCATGCCCGGCTGATTTTTTGATTTATTGTAGAGATGAGGTCTCACCAAGTTGCCCAGGTGGGTCTCGAACCCACAGGCTCAGGCAATCCACTCACCTCAGCCTCCCAAAGGTACGGGATTACAGGCTGAGCCACCGAGCCCAGCTTATTTTTAGTTTTAAATAGGGAAAGAAACTATTCCTGGTCATATTATATACCATACTCCAAGACGTATAGTAGGAAGTTGTGAGAGAACTTCTAGCTTGCTTGGAGAAGGTAGTAGGGTGCAAAAAATCAAGTGGGAAAGGAAAAGGAACAAATAAAGTTTCTTCTACCTACATTACTGGCTTGTATTACAGTTGATGATCTCCTTTTTGAAAAGGGGGAATCACATAAAAAGTATGCTAGTAAGTTGGCCAGAATAAATAGATCATTCTCTACCTAGAAAAGAACTGACAATTATTATTTCATGATTATACCTACTACTTACTGAACATGTTCATATACCATGAACTGAAGATACAGTTAAATTCCTGTCCAAGCCGGGCTCGGTGGCTCAGCCTGTAATCCCGCACTTTGGGAGGCTGAGGTGAGTGGATTGTCTGAGCCCCACAGGTTCGAGATCCGCCTAGGCAACTTGGTGAGACCTCATCTCTACAATAAATCAAAAACTAGCCGGGCATGGTAGCACGCGCCTATAGTTCCAGCTACTTGGAAGGCTGAGGCGGAAGGATAGCTGGAGCCCAGCAGGTCGAGGCTGCGGTGGCCAGGAGTGGCCAGTACATTCCAATCTGGGCGACAGAGTGAGACTCTAACTCAAAAAAAAAAAAAAAAAAAAAAAAAAAATTCCTGTCCAGGGGTTTCCTGAGATCTGAAAATTATTTCAAGGGTTTATCCAGGGTAACAAGATTGAGAAAGGTTCACACAGGTGATCAAGATCAATGGTGTCTTGGTAACTGCTGAAGATGGATGATGAGTACATGGAAGCTCATTATACTAGTTTCTATTTTTATGTATATTTGAAAATTTCCATAATAAAATTAGAAACAACTATAGAAGGGATTGAGACATTTACCTGAATTATAAGAAACTAACTTACAGTCTACACCTTTTGTAGCAGAAAAAAATGAAACTGACACCCAGAAAGAAGCAGAGACAGACTCCAAAGCCACCACCCAGCCCTTGTTTTTACTACTTCTAGCCAGGTCTCAAATATGTGAAAAAATAAATCCCTTCTTTAAGTAGTTTAAGTTGGGATCTGTTCACTTAAAACCCAAAGGTCCTGACCAATGCAGTTGGCAAACTATAAACAGCTGTATTCATCTTCTTGAAGTGTACATTATCATCTTAGGAATTCATCAAAATGGAAAAGAGGTTAACATTAAAGTTGTTAACTTTTGACCATTTTCAAAAATCAAGTCTACTTTTCAAATGTTAACATGCCTGGATCATGGTCTCTAAGTATCACTTCTCATTAAGATGAACCAGGACTCCTTGGAAATTTGCTAATTCCTGGCCTGGGGCATAAAATGTCTAAGATGAACCTGGAATATCTTTGGTCCAGAGATCAGAGATGACAAAGACTACCAGGATCAGTCAAAAGGACACAGGGGCCACCAGCCAGCCTGAGATGGCCAACTTAAGCACTGAAGTTTGAAACACATCAAATGCTTTAAAATCTATGAGTTAATAGTGATACTTTAAAAAAAAGGAAAAGCAAAAGAATATCACTTTGGTCATCTTTGGAGGATGCCAGAAAAGCAATTCATTTATTTTGAAAACAAGAAAATAGGGAAAAAGAAACCAAATATGTTATTCTGTCTTTCCTATACAAATTGTACCTCAGCATACCAAAGAGCTGATGAGCAAAATATTTATTTCTCTAGCAACAAATGCAAGAGGAATAGTAGGATGTCACCATTGTGCAGCCTTAATTAATAGATTAGGGGAATGGTCATCAATGCCTACAGCAATACCATTAGGTGAAAAGCTGATGGGGAACTTCATAATGAATGGCTCTAGCTGGCAACACATCACAAAAAAAATAAAAATAAAGGAGACAAATGATATCCTACATGCTTGCAAAAAAAAAAAAAGAGAGTACATGCATTTATAAAACTATTTTCTTTACAGAGAAGAAGAGAGATTGATCAGAAATACAAAGGAAGAAATAATTCACAAATTGGTCTGTACTGTAACTACTCTTTTACATAACCACTGTCTTGGGTGAAAATCCAAAGTCTGAAGTATACAGGGAGTAGGGGCTGCTGTGAATAATCTGGGCCATCTTCCTTAAAGCTGGTATTCACCAAATATAAAAACGCCTACCAGAAATATTTGTCAGCGTCCAGCAGACATGGCAAGGCAATTCCATATTCTTTTCTTTTCAGGAAAGCTCTGCCCTTCTCATGATATCCCATAGCTAACATAAGGGCCTAGAAAAAAATATAAATTTCAAAAATCTTTAAATATAACAAAACAAATTATATTAAAAGCATATTAATTACTTTAAAATCAAATAAGGTTAAAAAAAAATCACAACTCAATCTAAAAGCCAAAATTAAGAAAAATATAACTAAAGCTTTATTTCATTTAAACACTGAAACCAAGCACTCGATTTAACATGGCTGATACAGTCATCACCAACACCTCGTTCTTTTTGTTTTCATCAGTTTATTTTAGTATCTGGTGATCTGGATCTACTTCTAGTATCCCATTAAGACTAAACATATAAAAAAGCAGTCAATGATGTATATAACCTTTTAAAAAACAGCATTCATTTCACTTTCTCTTCTTCATGAAGTTTTTTCTGAAGTATTTGTCAACCTAGTATTTCCAAGACAATTTTTAAAAGATGATCTGAAATTTTTTGAAGTTCATTAGTTTTTTAATTTGAATATTTACATAATTCAGTCTAACAAAGGTTTTCCAGAAAGATCTGGATGTTATCATTTAATGTGAGAAAGCAGTGGGCAAATAATCACCAATATTTAAAAAAAAATAAACATCACCATCAAAAGAGGACTGGATTAAAAAAATGTGGTACATATACACGATGGAATATTATACAGCCATAAAGAAGAACAAAATCATGAACTTCGCAGCAACCTGGATGGAATTAGAGCTTATAATACTGAGTGATCTCTCACAGAAACAAAGAGCTCATAATGTTCTCACTCATAAGTGGTCCTTGAACAACTACCATATTACTATAAGAAAAGGATTAAAAGTAGTGGCAGCCGGGCTCAGTGGCTCAGCCTGTAATCCCGCGCCTT